TTACAAGTTGGAATTCCAGTATAGTTTATGAGATGGATTTTGATTCTTAGAGATTGGAAATTGAATTCCACTAAGGTTTGTTCAGGGTTTATTTAAGGTACCATTGAAGAGATTCGTACAAAGTATTTGATATAGGCAGCAATAGTTTCAATATGCAATATCAAGTTGAATATTCATAACATATTGCTAGTAGAATGATATAAGTTGTTTGGACTAGAATAGATATTTTGTTGACTAAGATTTGTTTAGCTCATCAAGGATTTTTCGCTTGGCAGTAGAAGACTTGTTGTTTCGTATTGTAGAGATTCAATACCTTAGACTTTGCTTTATATAGTATTGATAGATTTTCTATGATTTATTCAACTCCAATTGCTCACTGATCTTATGGGTTGACATAAGAATTTGTCTGAGCCTACTTGAGATAAATAGTATGATAGTCTCTCACGTAGTCTTTTCATACTTGCAGATCACTCGCGACTTTGTCAGATTAGATCCTGGAAAATCACTCAATTGATTCTATTGTTTAGACAAATGGACGAGATGATAGAATATGTTGCTGTTCCACACAAGAAATTTTTCAGTACTATTGGGTCCGACTAAGAACAACATTTTGTGTGCCTGCAAACACAATGTTCACGTATTGTTTCCACGTTTTCCATTCTTTCATACAGATTTTATCTTGCTTAGTTCCATAAAAACATTTGGTATCGGACAAACTTTGTAGTTTATGTTCACAAATTGGATGGTTTTAGAAGCACATAGTCTATTCTGATAATTCGATTGTTGAAGCTTTCCCAAAGCCTAATAGAATCTATGAAACATGCATGGCATATTGCTTCTGTTAATTGCAGAATCATCACCATACGAGGTAATTCAACTCAATTGATACTGTATGCTTTGCAACTTTAGAGACTATTCCTATCGTTATTTAGAGCACAAACATCAAGGTTTATGTTCTTTGTTCTTTTTAAGATTTGAGTACACATAACAACTTGACAAAAATGACGAAGAAGTACCTTTACATACTCTTAGATTCCTAGTCAGTCAAGTCATCCTGAGATAGATTTACATGTCCTTTTGCTGTTTATGGCGAAAAGTTGTCTCTTACCTTTGTTACAATGAGCCGTTATAACTCAAATCAATCAAATGACACAGCTTTTACTAGGCCATTGTCCTTTCTACGATTGACTCTTTTTTACCTTTATGATTGAAGAATTGGGTCTGACTTGCATTGATTGATTGATTCATTGATTCCATGGTGGCGTACTGGCTTATTTATCAGGTGGCAATTATGTGCACTTGGATTTGTGAAATTGATTGATTCTAATACGCAAGAAATTGCAGCGGGACTTCTCTATTGAAAAAAATGATTTAAGAGTACATTTACAACAAACGGACTGTTGATTTGTGAATCAAAGACAAAGGTAATACTATTGAAGAGGTTGGCACAAACTATGCAATATAGATAGCAGCGGGCTAAATGTGTATTCTCAAGTTGAATATGGATTGGATTGTACTAGTAGAATGAATTGGGTTGCTTGGACTAGATTGGATGTCCTTTGATTATGAGCTGGTTTGTTCCTCAACGTTTCTTTGCCAGGCACTATACAACTCTCTGTTTCATATGTAAGGTTATCATATCCTATACTTTGGTTCATACAGTATTGATATGTTTTTGATGGTATATTTAACAACAGTTGCTCAACGATCGTATATAGATTCCTCGGAAACATCTACCCAAGTAGAGTTGGCAGATGAAATACCAACTAGCACTAGTCATATTTTATCCAACTTCATGGAAGGGAACCTAATTGATAGATTGCTTGGCAAATTCAAATTGATAGCTAATCCCCAGATAGTTTTTTCATACAGACAAATTACATTCGACATTAACTAGGTCGTCGACCATGATTGATTTGAGTCCATTGTTGACACAATTGACCAGATGTTGAATGATTTTGTTATTCTTCAAAATGAAATTTTCTTACTAGTTCCTATTCTGAATAGCACGTTTAGCACCAGTATACAATTTTTTTACACATCTTTCCAAGTTCGCATGTACTGTTTCTTTAGAGTACTTCTTTTCCTACTATGTAGAAGCATACTTACTAAGTCTCTTGTCTTGTTTGTATCGTTTTTTTATTGAATTAAAAAAGTTCACGATCATTAATTTTTTTAAAAGAGTGGAAACATAGAGTACAAAATTAAATTCAATTGAAAGAAATAAATTGAAAGAATAAAAAATGCTATTAAGAAAATAAAGGAAGGAAAAATAGAAAAATGATATAAAAAATTAATTGCAAATTAAGAAAAAGTTTTAGAAGGTTAAACAAATACAATGGAAAGGCTGGAAAATGGGAAAGGAAACACCTAGTTTGGTGTATTGATTTGGAAAAAGACAAGAAAACAAGTAAAAATGGAAGTTGAAAATTTACTAGGATTTGTAATAGTGTGGGAAAAAACAGGGGTAAATGGGGCATACAGAGAAAAATGGGGTTTATGAAATTGATTGAGGTTTGAATGTGGTAGTATGGGTTGCATGAATGAATGAGGGCAAAATTGGATAAGAGGCAAATCCAAGGTCCATACAGTGCTCGGGAAAGTGCCTTTGGGGGAATATGGTTGGGTGGAGGAAGACTGGGGGCCAATTGGGAAATCGGGATGAATCCAAGGTCAATTTCGATTGATAAATTATCATTGGAGAAACAAGAGTTTGAATTTTTTGAGCTAGAGTATAGTCCTTTGATTATGAGTGGTTTAGCTCGTCAAATACTTTTTAGTTTTGCACTAGAAGATTCATTGTTATATATATAGAGATTCAACAGAGGACACTTTGGTTTATATAGTGTTGATAGATTTTCGATTGTGAATTCAACACCAATTACTGACTGATCTTATGGGTTGTTGGAAGAAGTTACCCGAGCAGACGCATAAAGAAAAAGTACAAATCAGTACTAAGCGTAACTTATCTACAACTATAAGGAAATCTAGCTGAAAGAATACTATGTAAAGAGGGTAGTAGTAGTAGTAGTAGTAGTAGTAGTAGTAGTAGTAGTAGTATAGTGTCACATAGTCTCTTCATACTTACAAGTTACCCCCAGCATTTGGTAAATTAGATTGAGGAAGATCACACAATTGATTTGATTGTTTAGACAAATGGACGACATTATGAATCATATTGTCATTGTGCATAACGAGAAATTTCTTATCACTGCAAGGTGACTGAGAGTACTACGTTGTGAGTCGATGTGCACACTTTTCAAGTATCGTTTCCACGTCAACATACGTTCTTATATGGAAGTAGGCTTTTTCTTAAATTTCGAAAGACATGCTAATACCAACTTACTTCATCAGCTACTATATTACAAGCACCGTCCATAATTGTATCATTTCCTAAATTTCAACACTCACAAATTCCAAAAAAATAAGAAATGCCATGTAAACGCACTATATTGAAAAAATCATAATAAAATTTTTTTGTACAGTTGTCACACAATTGAGAGGAAGATTATTTCTTCCAATTCCAAAGAAGTTTACTACTACAAGTCAATACAACAAAAGTCACTATGATAAAACACAATTGACTGCAAATTTAGGGGATAAATAAGCAACAAATCTGCAATATACCAAAAACGTTGTTTGCACAAGTTAGTACAAGCAACAATTACAAGCCTTCGATTTCTAGGTATTGAATTCGTGAAGCTTTGGTATCATTGTACTCGAAACCTTGTTGTTCCATATGTAGAGGCTTTGCATCTGAAGCAGTGTTTTATGTGGTCTGTAGGTATTCTACATGCTTGATTCAACGTCGAATTTTCCAAGATTATCTTGAATTGTCTGAAAGAAATGTAGTTTTTACTCTAAGAAGACGACCACAAACTATTACTTGTATTATTTGAAATCAAGTCGAATATCAATTTATTTTTTTTGTGAGGCTAAACTCTGTAAAAAACGGAATCATAGCAAAGTATCACATTGTCCTTTGATACTTGGATTTTATTTGCCCCACTGTGTAGGTCGTCCTGATTCCATTCAATACAGTATGTTCTATTGAATCCAATAGTGAATGACCATGTGTTTCTAGAATATTAGGAATTTGTTGCTAGACTCCCATATTTGAGGCTTTAGTTTACATAGTATTTACATGTTCCCAATAGTAAATTCAAAAACAATTGGTCAACGAGCGTATAGATTTGTTGGAAAAACATACTCTGTAGAGTTGGCAGAGGCAATATGAACTAGCAATGCTTATATTTTACCTAGCTCCATGAAATGCAACCTAACTAATAGCTTTCTTGGTAAACAACATAATAAGAGCAAATTCCCACAAAACTTTTTTTCACACTGACAATTCAGATTCAGTATGAAATAAGTCGTCGACTATGACTGATTTGAATCCATTGTTTCCACAATTGACCAAAGGATGTAAGATTTTGTTATTCTCAAAATAGAGACCCCCTTAATGTTATAGTTCCGTTTCTAAGTAACAAGTTGAGCAATAGTGTACACACTATTCACACATTTTTTTCACGTTCTCATACATTCTCACTTTAGAGTGCTTTCTTTCTTATTATATTAAGTATATTTACTAAATCTCTTGTCTTGTTTGTATAGTTTGTTGATTGAATTAAAAAAAATTCAATTTCATTAATTTTTTTTAAAAAAGAGTTGATACATAGGAAACAAAATTAAATTGGATTGAAACAAATAAATTGAAAAAATAAATTCAAAATGAGAGTAAAAAAATAAAAAATAGAAAAAATAGAAAAATGATATAAAAAATTAATTTCAAATTAAGAAAGAGTTTTAGAAGATAAAGCGAATAGAAAGGAAAGAGGCGGGGAAGTGGAAAAGGAATATTTATCTCGTTTGATTGAATTGGAAAAAAAACAAGAATACAAGTAAAAAAATGTTAGAAATTTACTAGGGTTTATGATAGTGTGGAAAGGAAGAGGGGTAAATGGGGCATGGAGGACAACGTGGGGCTTATGAAATTTATTGGGGTTTGAATTTGGTACTATGGGTTGCATGCATGAATGGTGGCAAAATTGGATGAGGGGCAAATCCAAGATGGCAATTGCGGTTGGGAAATTGGCTGTAGGAAAGCACGGGTGGATGATTGGGGGAAAATGGGCCGATTGGGGGAAATAATGGGAGAGAGGGGTAATTTTGGTTGGGAAATTGCCATGGGCAATTGTGGGTGGGGGGAAGAAGGGGCCAATTGGGGAAAGAGGGGTAATCCAAGAGCGATTGTGATTGGGCAATTGCCATTGGGGGAGTCTGGAGTGGGGGATGAAATGGGCCAATTGGGAAATTGGGGTAAATCCAAGATCAATTGCAATTGGGCAAATGCCCTTGGGGAAACAAGAGTATGGGACAAGGGAAAGAATGGAAATTGAGAAAATTGTAAGAGTACTGGAATGTTGTCTCTGAACCAATCACGTTCAATATCAAATAGCTCTTCGACCATGATCCTTTAGAGTTCATTGTTTCCATATTTGATCAAATTTTGTATGATTTTGTTTGTCTATATAAAATGGAGATTTTTTTGTTGTTATTAGGTGCTATTCTGAACAACAAGTTGAGCACCAGTAAACAAATTCTCACACATTCCTTTTACGTTCTGATAAACCCTCACTTTAAAGTGCTCTTTTTCATACTGTATAAAGTCCTATTTACTGCATCTCTTGTCTTGTTTCTATAGTTTGTCGATTGAATTAAAAAATATTCACTTTCAATTATTTTTTTAAAACAGTTGATAGATAGGTTATAAAATTAAAATGGACTGAAAAAAATAAATTGCAATCCCCAATTAAAAATCATCCTAAAAAATTAGGAAAATTAAAAATCGAAAAATGATATCAAAAATTAATTAAAAATTAAAAAAAATTCATGAGCTCAAGCAAATAGAAAAGAAAGTCTGGAAAAGAAAAACCAAACACCTAGTTTGTAAGATTTAGTTTGAAAAAAGGCAAAGATGCAAGTGAAAATGGATGTTTGGAACTTATTAGGGTTTACGATGGAACGATTAGGGCTTGTGATTAAATGTTTGTGAAGAAGAGGAGCCACTGGGCACGCGAAGAAGTATGGGTTATGAAATTTTCTGGGGTTTGAATTTGGGAGTATGGATTGCATGGCTGAATGGGGCCAAAATTGGATGATGGTCAAATTGAAGGTCCATACAGTGATTGGGAAATTGGCCATGGGGTAGTATGGGTGGATGGATGGGGGAAGAATGGTCCAATTGGAAATGGGAGAGAGGATGAGGGGTAAGTGTGGTTGGGAAATTGGCATTGGGGAGAGTATGAATGGGGATGGGTGGGGAAAAGAGGAACCAATTCGAAGGCCACCAGTTGATTTGGAAATTGCCATTGGGGGCATGAAGGGGGGAATTGGACAATTGGGGCAATCCAAAGTCCACAGTGATTGGGAAATTACCATTGGGAAAACAACGAGTGTGGATTGTTTGAACTAGATTGTAGTCCTTTGATTAAAAGTTGTTTAGCTTTTCAAGGTCTTGTTTGCTTTAAGAAGATGATTTATAGTCTCATGTATACAGATTCAGTAAAGGACACTTTGGTTTATATAGTATTAATAGATTGTCGCTGGTCCAATTAGCACCAATTCAATTGATGCCTGATCTTATGGGTTATTAAAAGAATTTAAGCCAGCCATAACAGATTAAGCTAATAGAATAGTAGGTAACCAAGCATGATATCATAGAAAAATTTCATATAGTTTTTTCATGCTTGACAATTGCTTGCAACAGTTAGTAGATTACATTGAGGAAAATCAGTTAATTGATCTGAATGTTCAGACAAATGGATGACATGATAAAATATTCTACTATTGTACAAAATGAAAAATTTTGCGTTACTACTGGGTCTGACTTTTAACAACGTGTTGTGTATCTCCATTCACACTATACATATATCGTCTCCAGCAGAAATTTTTTTTAATTTTCAGAACACAAAATAACACCAACTTACTGTTTCCAGTTACTACAATGCAAGCACTATTCACACTTGTAATATTTCCTGAATTTAAATTATTATAAGTAAAAAAAAATATACTCTATAAACGCCATATATCCTAAAGAAAAAATTATTCGTACAGCTGTAACTCTTTTAAAAAAATAATTTTTTGTTTATAGTCAATATTATTAAGAACATGTCAGAACAGCAAAAGTTGCCAGAATATAAAAAAGACTTTACAGCAAAATTAACAAGTGAAAAAAAAGTGCAATATATGAAAAAGGATTATTTGCACAAGTTGTTAGAATCAACATTGACAACAATTCTACAAAGCGTTAATATCTATTCTTAGCAAGAAAATAAATGGAAGTTTCTATTTAAAGAAACTATTATACTACAATGTTGAATAATGAAAAAAAAAGTAAAAGAAAAAAAAGGAATTAGGGTCGATGAATTAAAAATCGCTCTAGGGCTTATTTAGGGCTTATTTAGGGCTTATTAGGGTTTATTCAGGGTTTATTTAGGGTTTATTTAGGGTTTATTAGGGTTTATTTAGGGTTTATTAGGGTTTATTAGGGTTTATTAGGGTTTATTTAGGGTTTATTAGGGTTTATTTAGGGTTTATTAGGGTTTATTTAGGGTTTATTTAGGGTTTATTAGGGTTTATTTAGGGTTTATTTAGGGTTTATTTAGGGTTTATTTAGGGTTTATTAGGGTTTATTAGGGTTTATTTAGGGTTTATTTAGGGTTTATTAGGGTTTATTAGGGTTTATTTAGGGTTTATTAGGGTTTATTAGGGTTTATTAGGGTTTATTAGGGTTTATTAGGGTTTATTTAGGGTTTATTTAGGGTTTATTAGGGTTTATTAGGGTTTATTAGGGTTTATTAGGGTTTATTTAGGGTTTATTAGGGTTA